GATGATGATGGTGAAGATGAGAGATAATGATGATGGTGAAGATGAGAGTAATAATGATGATGGTGAAGATGAGAGTAATAATGATGATGGTGAAGATTAATAATGATGACAGATGAAGATGATGATGGTGAAGATGAAGTAATAATGATGATGGTGAAGATGAGAGAATCATGATGATGATGAGATGGTGAAGATGAGAGTAATAATGATGATGGTGAAGATGAGAGTAATAATGATGATGGTGAAGATGAGAGTAATAATGATGATGGTGAAGATGATGATGGTGAAGATGAGAGTAATAATGATGAATGGTGAACATGAGAGGATGACAGATGATGAAGATGAGAGATGATGATGGTGAAGATGAGAGTAATAATGATGATGGTGAATATGATGATGACAATAATTATAGTAATGACAGTAATAATGATGATAACAACAACAACAATAGCAATATTGATGATGATGATGACAATGATTATAGTAATGACGGTAATAATGATGATAAGAACAACAACAATAGCAATATTAACAATTATAATGATGTTAATAATAACAGGAGCAATAATGACAATAACAGATGCTAACAATAATAGAAATAACGATAACTGCAACAACAGCATCGACAATAATAACAATAGTAATTATAGTAATGATGATAGGACTTACGATATTGATAATAGTGATAATGATAACAATGACAATGATAATGATGGTGATAGTACAAAAGCATAGTTGTGAAGATAATGATAATATTAGTAACAATTTTCAGTGTAATGATGATAACAATCATATTTTTTTTTAGTTGTAATAATGATAATGATAATGACAGTGATGATGATGATGGTATTAATGATAGTGATAATAGTACAACTGTTACTACTACTATTAGTAGCATCTATAGTAATAATAATAATGATAATGATGATGATAATAATAATAATGATAATAATAATAATAATAGTGATGATAATGATAATAATAATAATGATGATGATGATGATGATCATCATCATCATCATAGCAACAATAACAATAACTATATCAACATCGTTTATAACAATGTTAATTCTAACGGCAATGATGATAGAAATGGTAATAAAGACAAAGCTATTGATATCAACAATAACGATATCGATCCGCGAGATATTTCAATGTGATATTGACAAGTCATAAATGTAAATATGTCGTAGAAACATTCCCCTTTAGAACATACTCAATTATAAACATTATAAAAAGAAAAAGAGTTTTAAAAAATGCATGCAAAGGAGTATTAAGATAGATACCATAAAAATGAATTTTATTCAAATAGTTTCCCGACAATTTAACCACACCCCCCTCGGTGACGTCATCGCCCCGGATTCGTGGATTCCTTCCGGATTCGTGTTGGCCGAACGCTCTCACAGTGAGGCCAGAAAGGAAGTGAAACACGATAAGTAAACATTTAGGAAAATCGAACTATGAACCAAGTAAATGACACCATTAGGGAAATAAATAATATATAAAGGGCCTGGGAAGCGAGGAGGCAGGATATAAGGACGGGGGTGAGTATCCAAGGCCTTTTGCTCCCTCGTTTCTGTCAATTTTCCGAAGAAAGGATTGCATATTTTTAAAAAGCAATTTTGTTGGGTTAATTAACATAGATTTTGAATGAAGTCTGTTTGATATTGGAAGATTTTGTTTCATAATTTTGATTGTCTCATTTGGTATGATTTTATTTTCCTCTTTGTGTTTCTTTCTCGTCTGTTTTGTAGGTTGTTTTATTTGGTTTGGGTTATTTTCCCTTTTTTCTTTTCTTTTTTGTCATTATTAAGTTCGTGTTTTGCTTAACGCATTCCGTAGATGAAAGCGATTTATATTTGCCCGTCAATATTTTTATCTGTTGTCTGTAACTATGTTGGTAATGTTGTTAATAAGTATTTTTCTCTTCCTCTTTGACAAATTGTTCTATAGTAGAGCATTTTTTGCTCCTATTATCAAATCTTGCTATTTCATTTCCTCAAATAATGGGAGACATGCCAGCATTGATGAAGAAAAGATTGTAATGATTGTAATGTTAAGAAAGGATTAAGAAGATGACATTTTACACCGCAATATAGTGAAGTAGTTTTGGACATTGTTTTTGCGGTGTTATCAGCATGAAATTGATGGGTTGAGATTGAAACCAAAATGAGATTTTAAACTAATTTAGCTTGTGTTTCTGTACGAAAGGAGCATTGTGTAAAAGTACAAAAGAATCGGTATGATTTATTTATTTTTTTTTTTTATTATTAGAATATGATGGTGTATTTCCTTCACTGATATTTAAAGGGAACAATTTGCAGTCAGATATTTAGGTAGATACGGTGATCTTTCTGGTAGCTTGTTCGTTTATGATGGGGTTCTCTAACTTGTTTGTTTGCTCAGTGGATCATCCGTGGCGGAATCTTGTCTTGAGTTTTTAAATTTTCCAACTTCTTTAGCATAGGAAATTTCATTCTTTGCTCGTTTTTTTTTAATTTCCCACGTTTGTTTGTTTTTTAAAGTGCCTGCTATGAACGAAATCACCTCCCCCCCCAAAAAAAAAATAGATGAATAAATAGATAAATAAAAGTAATAATAATAAAAGAAATAGACAAAAAGGAAAAGAAAATCCCACAGGATTCCCCAACATTTTTGGCTGGAGTTGGGACTCTGTATTTGACGAGTTCAGTCCTATTGTAAATCTTTACCCTTTGCCCATAAATACAACTAAACAAACCTTAAAACAGAATATTCCATCTTGCAGAATCAGCTGACTGTTTATTTTTGATAGTACCTATTTTTATTATTGGGTTTTGGCATTATTGATAATATTTCTGTCAGAATTTTTGAGGATAAGAATAGAAATGATGATATTTTAATTATCATCATATTTATTAGAATAAGTCATAGTAGTAGATGTAGTAGAAGTAGTTGTCATTGTTATTATACCTTGCATTATATTTTCTCTTAGAAATGGAGGCAACTGTTATTATGAATAATACTGTTGCTGATATTGTATCATGAATGTGAACATAGCATCTTTATGAACAATTTTCTTTGAAAAAGAAATTTTTTGTTTTATTTTGAATAGAATATACCAGTGATTTTTCTTCTATTTAGTGATGGAAAATCAGGATGTAATCATGCTTTGTTTACTTATTACCAGTTTCCTAGTTCATAACCATAACATATTCCTTTTCCCTCACCAGGTGAAGGCCCAAGGGCTGCAGGTGCTATCTCCACCGCTACCCCACCACCGCCGCCCCCTTCCTCCCCCTGACCCTAAACTATCATGCCGCGCTACCTGCAGCCAGAGGAGGCCACGGCTCGTGACCTGGAGAGAGGCAAGGCAGTGCGCAGGTTCTCTCACCGGCACCGGCCTGAGCATGGCACACTCAAGATCCGGAGAGAAACTGGCCACATCATCTGGGTTGGAGCACAGGGTGTCAGGGAAGTTATCAGTGAGTTACGAGGAAATTACTTATAGTTTGATGTTTCAAAGAAGTATATGCTTTCACCATATCTTTCCCCCTTTGTCACTGTTTTATTGTTTTATATTTTGATCTGTATTTCATGGTGTTTTATATTTACCCATTACCTGTGTTATTTGATTTCTGGCAGTTTCCTGAAAATCAGGTGTTCTCTATTACAAAAAAAAAAAAAAAAGAGAATGAAAGCTGCCGTAATGTATTTTATAATACCTTTTCATCATCTTTGTCTTTGATTTTTAATATCATCCAGAAATTATCATAATTCTTTCTTTTCTTTTCTCTTCTCTTCTTCGGGTGGAGATGTTTCTTTAAGATTATGGGAAATTGCCTCAGGAAACAATGCAAACAGTTCTTCCCTGAAAGCAAACTCAATCGCAAATACACACCCTCCCCTCCAAACATAACTAACTTTTTCACACATCTACCTCTTGCACTTCAGCTTCCCTGGCGGACATCAAGGAGGTGCGACCAGGGAAAGGCTCCAAGGACTTTGAGAAGTGGCAGGAGGAGGCCAGGAGGGAGGAGAGAGCCAAGTGTTTCATTGTCTTCTACGGGAAAGAGTTCAAGCTCAGAACGCTCTCCATTGCAGGTGAGACAACCCCTTTCCAAGTTTTTGTTAGTTGTCATTTAGGATTAGGGTTAAAGATGTTGAGAGAAAAAAAGAGAAGAGGAAATGAAATCACTATAGAAGACTCGGTGACCATAATTGCTGTCAGTGTTATGAGTGCTGTTATTAACTTTCATTGCACAAGGGTGGGTCTATCTGGCTACTAATGGATTTACATTTCGGCATGGATAGTTGCATGTCAGATTCACTTTTATTAGTTTGTTACAATGTGATTTAAACCCAATGAAAACAAATGGTATATATACATGCCATAGCAAGGATGAGCCCAAATTCCAGACATTGAAGGGAGCTCTCACTTCTGCACATGATATATACGATTTAAGGTTTACAAATTCATCTGTACTTTTTCTTGAGCTATAGCCTTCCAAATTTGGCTTTTATTGAAAAATGCTGCTTAGCTTGTCTAGAATCAATGGCAAGGGGGGAAAATTAAGTTTCTCTGCTTCATATTTTTGTCTCTTGCAAGTACCTGATAAACAGACTTGACATAAAAGTCCATGCACTGCTCTCATTGCCTGGCTCCGTAAGTTAAAAGAAGCAAGTAATGTAGTTTCAGAGTAATCTTTGAAAGGAGAATTGAATTCTTTTGGCCATGCTGATTGAAATCTAAATCCATATCTCTTCCCTGTACAGCGATCGCTCCTGATGAATGTACAGAATGGATCAACGGGCTGAAATACCTCAAGGAAGAGGCCCTCAATGTGCCCTATACTATAAGACTAGAGCGGACACTTCGCACAGAGTTCTACAACATGGAGAACCAAAACAACAGGTTTGCTTAATGTGGTTCTAGTGCTCCATCTATTTGTTAAAATTTGTGTACTTTTAGTTATGAATGACTATCTTCAAAGGGCATTATTTGTTAAGAAAAAGAACTTAAATGATAACAGAAAAATAACAAAATATTGTTTGCTATTGGATTTATTGATGTGTCATTCATGCATAAAGATTTAATAGAGATAAGATACTAGGAAAAAAATCTTAATAGTAAATGATAAAACTTGGCGACTAATGGAAACAAGAAACATACATGCATGCAGGGAAGCAGACATGTACTCTAACATGGACTCAGACAGACAAACATACATACTCACAGACACATACAGAATCACACAGACACATACACATACAGACACACATGTGCACACACATACGACATGCGCGCACATGCCCATGACACAGGCTTACACACACACACACATGCACACATACTCACACACACGCACACTCACATGCACGCACACTCACACGCACACACGCACACGCACATGCACATGCACACGCACACGCACACGCACACACACACACTCACACTCACACTCACACTCACACTCACACTCACACACACACACTCACACTCACACTCACACCACACACACACACACACACACACACACACACACACACACACACACACACACACACACACACACACACACACACACACACACACACACACACACACACACACACACAAACACACACATACACACACATACACACACATACACATTTACATTGCTTAGTTCATTGATAAGAGAAATAGGCTAGTTGACATCCGCATTCACCCGTTAAGGCACAAATTACCATCCCCTTGACTTTCCTGCTCAGAATAACCTTCCGTGATGTGAGGAACTTCCTGCCACGCATCCACTACAAGATGACCAACAACCAGCTCAAGCAGCTCTTTGATCAGGTGGACGACCGCAGCCAGGGGGAGATTGGCTTTGACCAGTTCTTCGACCTCGTCAAGAAGATTGCCTGGGACAAGGATGTTGATGTATGCGTACTGATACATTTTGTTTATCATTGTTCTTACTTTAATATGTTGAGTGTTGTTGTTGATACGGTTATTGTTATGATAAAGATTATTTTTTATTTTGGTTAGCTTTATTTCATTATTGTTGTTATTATTATCATTATTATTATTATTATGATGATGATAATTTTGATGATAATTATTATTATCTTTATTGTCATTGTTATTACCATTATTGTTATAACTTGTGTTTTAGCTCTTTTTTATTACATGTCTTTAGTTTTCCATATACTTTATTTTTTTTATTTTTTTTATTTTTTATTTATTTTTTTTTTTTTTTTTATTACTAGAATCAAGAATATTTATTTCTTCTGACTCTGTCATGTTTCATCTCTTATTTAGTTTTGCCACCTTTTACTGACATCATTCTTTTTATTCTACTCACTTCCTCAAATCGATTTCTAACTGTCACGCATTTCCCCCTCTTCTGCTCTCCTCCCCTACCTGCCCTGCATTGCCCTACCATACCCTACCCAACTCTATCCTACCATACCTTACCCAACTCTATCCTACCCTCCCTTTTCCTGCCCTTCCCTACCCTGCCCTACTCTACCCTACCCTATGCTGCCCTGCCCTGCCCTGCCCTGCCCTGCCCTGCCCTGCCCTGCCTTGCCATTACCTCCATGGTCCTCATCTCTCCTTTTTCTGCTTGTAGAGGATGATGTTCGAGAATGCACGGGATGTCGGGGAGAAGTCGCTGCTGGACAAGTACTGCTGTGAGGGGAAGGTATCGCTGCAGGACTTCCAGTTGTTCCTGGTAGAGGAGCAGAAGGAGCCAGAGGACATGGCAGGCCTTATCATCAAGAACTTCATCAGTGATGTGCAGAGGGACATCATGGAGCCTTACTTCCACGTGGAGGAGGTAAGGAGAGAGTGTGTGAGGGAGTGAATGTGGGTGTGGTGTGAATGTTAGTGTGGGTGTGGGTGTGAGTGCGAGTGTGAGTGTGGGTGTGAATGTGAGTGTGGGGGTGTGTATATATGTATTGTATGAATTTTGACATCCCTTTCTTTATTCTGTTCTTTGTTTTTCAGTTTGTACAGTACTTATTCTCCAAGTCAAATGAGCTTTGGGACCGTCGCAATGACAGCGTGAACCAGGACATGACAAAGTCCATGTCACAGTACTGGATCGCCTCGTCACACAACACGTAAGGTTCAAAGAAATCTCATAACCTACAAGGGGTTTGTGATTGTTATGCTTTGGGTAATTGACTCCTCCTGTATCTATTGCTTTGACATCATTGTCCTCCTTTTGTAGGCTCTCTATGCTTTTTGAATTGTTTTTCTCTTCATTTTTTTCTTATTTCTCATATTTCTATACTATGTCATATTCTTTAATATAGATTTTAAACCCTCTTCTTATCTCATCTACTTCTACTACTACTATTACTATTACTATTACTATTACTATTACTACCACCACCACCACAAATACTATACCACTACTATGACTACCACCACCATCACAACTATCACCACCACTAGTACTACTACCACACTACCACCCTACCACCACAACCACAACCACTACAACCACTGTTGATACTACTATTACTGCCATTATTATTATTACTTCTACTCCTATCCCTCCTCTGTACATTCAAATTTTCAACCCATGTTTGTAATTTCCTCATTCATTCCTTTGAATACCCATTTGCCAATCCTGTTCCATGTCCAACCATTCTCACCTCATTCCATTCACCTCACCTTCCATTATTCCAGGTACTTAACGGGTGACCAGGTAGCCAGTGACTCCTCAACAGAAGCCTATGCGAGGGTGCTACGTCAAGGATGCCGGTGCATTGAGCTAGACTGTTGGGATGGGCCGGATGGAGTGCCCAACATCTACCATGGCTTCACACTCACGAGCAAGATTAGCTTCAAGGATGTTATTAACACTATCAATGAGCATGCCTTTGTGGCCTCTGAGTGAGTATTTGTCTTTTATTTTTATCTATTTTTCTCTGTTTGGTTTCTTTCCCCCACTGGTTTTGTTCCGTGAATTGCTGACGTACAGTCACAGACAAAAATGTTCAGCTATCCAATGATAGTGTTTACTTTGGAAGAGCTATCTTTCTGTGCTGGGTAGGATTAAGGAAGATGGGGAGGAAATGGTTAGGAGGGAGTTGCCTGTTATGTGAAGTGTTGGTTGTATAGTCTGTCTTTTTAATTTCTTTCAAATCATGCCATAAAACAGATTTGATAATCAGTTGTAAAACAATATTTGATGATGATGATGCATGGCACTAATATCATGGCATTATGTGAAAAATCTTGACATACATGTATGATTAGATGAGCAATCATGACACTTGACATTATATACCAGCCACAGATGGTGACATTAGAATCAGGAAATAATGGGCAAAACAACATGGCTTCATTCGTGCCGAGGAGACCCAGACGTAGTAATATAAGCAAGTAACATACTAGCTAGGGCAAAGTCCACTAACATTCCTTTTTCCTAATGTTTACTAATGATGTAAAATATAAAGATGTGTTTGAGTAGAATATAAATTATTACTCCAGATGATAGATTGTGAATTTTTTTTTATGTGATGTTGACCCATTTGCACAAACATCAAATTGGGACATGTCTTTATGAGTGAGCATGCTTTCTGAAGTAAAGATTGTTGTTTGCCCATTCTTTCCCCAACTTCTGACATCACTTCAACTGAGGCTGCTATCTAGGCTGGTAGGCATGCCTGTTCATCAGAATATCCAATTGTCACAAGCCTTTTTATGAAATGTATAGCAACTTGGAGTTGCTATACATTTGCTATATACTCAATCATGTCAGTGTTTGCATCTGATATCAAAGTTGGTTGCTAAAACTCAACCAATTTAAAAGTCACTTGCAGTTTTCTGTTCGTAAGCCAGATTATTTGATTAACACAAATATCTGTCTCAATAATATTCAGTTGTCATGGCAGTAAACTTCTTTCAAGAGCCAGTTCATGATGCCACACTCTATGACAAGCGATCTGCGTTACCATCGCCCTCCTTTCCCAACCATTTCCTTCCCTTCCTCCTTTCTCCGACTGACACTATGAATCACTGCACAGAAGGGGAGCCATTCTGAGAGGCTACCAAAGGATAGTTGATTATTTTTTGTCCACGACTATAGGTAAGATTTTTGTTTGATACTTATTATTATCCTATATTTTCCCATTAGTCTGGTTTTCATTTGTATGTTGATACAATGCTCATTTCAGTTTATGTGTCCCAGCCTTAATTCTCCCTTTTATTCTCGCTTACTTTAGATTTCAAGTTGATTGTATATGCACACACATTTCTTCGCATAATTCATCCTTCTCAGGAGTGTCATCCTGTCCTGAGCCCCAGAGAAGCGTTGCACCTCTCAGCCATTACCTTTCTTTAATGAAGCAATGCCTCTGCAACCTCCTACAGATACCCTGTGATACTCTCCATAGAGCAGCACTGCAGCATGATACAGCAGAAGGAAATGGCCGAGCTGTTCCAAAAAGTGTTTGGCGATTCACTCTTAACTGCTCCTTTAAGCCCTAATGAAAAGGTGTGTGCATTTGTTGTGGTTTGAATTTTTTTTTTTTATACGTTATTTATTTATTTTATTTTTATTTTTATTTATTTATTCTTATTTTTATTTATTTTAATTTTATTATTTTATTTTTTTTTTTTTTTTTTTTTTTTTTTTTTTTTTTTTTTTTTTTTTTTTTTATGGGAAAGGTCTGCATCCACCCTCACAATATAAACAAAGGATGGATGCAGCTAAGTGCCCCCTTTGGCATTAGCACCATTTATTGGTTGATTGCAGGGAAACTTTTTATGGATAACTATTGGGGGAAGTATTTTATCATGTGTTTCATTTTCCAGAATTAGATTGTATTTTTCTGTCTCTCATATGTCATTCTTTCTCTATCAATCCAACTAATACTTTATACTTACATTCCCTTCAGGAGATGCCGTCCCCAGAGCAGTTAAAGCGCAAGATCATCATTAAGCATAAGAAGCTTCCAGAGGGCATGGATGAGGCTACCCCTCCCATCTGCAGTGCAAATGACTCTAGTGCTCAGTCTA